AATAGAGCACTGCATGGGTTGCCGAAGGGCCCGCCTCAGTGGCTCGACCGTGTCAATCTCGTCCAGCGAACTCTTCATTAAGAACTTCTCCACTCCCCGCTTTCGCGGCGAAAGGATAACCTCCTCTCCATCGACCCGCTACCCGTTCTTCTGCGCCATCACGTAATCCGTGTCAGTCTTCTTCGATGTAGACCCTCTTGCCGACTTCGTGGCTGCCACCTTTATAGGTGTGGTCGCGATATCCCCCTCAAAGGTTATCTTGATGCTCTGGCTCTTGACCGACTCCATTCCTTTACTCGTCTTTATTCTCCTCGCTTCGACATTCTCCTTCATCGAAGGGAACATCGATACATCTCTGAGATCATCTGCCCACTTGACGTACTTGCGGTCGTCAAGCACGACAAGTCCCTCATCTATTGCCCGTTTGAGGTCCGGGCAATCCCTCTTGATATGATCTTCTCCTCTACAGTAGACGCATGAGTTCCTCGGAGTAGATGCCCTGTCGTCTGCGCCTCTAGAGATCGAATTCCTGGCCGCCTTGGGGTCAGGCGACTTGGGATATGATTCTGATGAGACGCCATATCCCCCTCTCTCATTCCGACCGCGCGGATCGTTGCGCCAGTCTCCTCCAAACCCTCCTTGCTCATACCGCCCTCGCGAATCATTCCGGCGGTCTCCCGAGTCATATCGTCCTCGTGACTCATCGCGTTGGTCCCCTCGGTTGTACCACCCCCGCGACTCGTCGCGCTGCTCTCTCGCATCTCCCCCGCGCTTAAACCGTCCGCGCAACTCATCTTGTCGTTCCCAGTCCCGATATCCTCTCTCATATCTACTTCCTTTGTAGCCATCTCGACCCGACCTCTCGTATATGTCGTCCCTATATCCATCTCGGTCCGATCCCTCATATCTTTCGTCCCTATATACATCTCGTCGGCCCTGTTCTGTCTCCCATCGGCCGCGGAAGTCGCCTCTACCCCGATCGGCCTCATAGCGAGGGTTTCGCGGGTAATCATCCAGCCTCCTTGCTCGCACAAACGGCTCGCGATCTCTGCGGTCTCGGTCTATCTCATCGTTCCTATGTCGCCATGGCTCATCGTCTCTCTCTCTTCCCCTCGTACGATAATCAGTCAGCGTCCGAGGATTTCTATCCTCGACACTCTTCCAGGGATCGTTGTTCCTACGGTCCCAGCGAAGTGAATAGGGTCCTCCAGGTTTGTCTCGGTAGGCCGTGGCCCCTGTAGCGGTCATAATCTCTGTAACCTGTCCCGTTAATCCCTTCACCATGTCCCGTATCTCCTTCACTTCCTCAGCCACGGCCTCATTCTTCTCCGACCAGGGATAATCCTTGAAATCAGGACATCTATCAGTGGCATACTCCTTGTAGAGAGAGAAGTCACGTCTCCTCATCCCTCTCTACACCAAGTTCTTGTAATAGTCCGTCTCTGCCTTTATCGTGAGCTTTAGGACTTCTGGGAAATCAAGCTTGTCGAGCGGAAGATCTCTAAGTATACTCTTTTGCCTACCTTTGGACAAGTGTCCGATGAAGATAGTACAACGCTCGACCTCTGAGATCTTCCGCTTTTTCATCAGCACGTCGGAGATCTTTTGGAAACGCATCCCAAATGCCCGTACGCTCTCATCTTCATCTTGAGTCATTGTTTCAAGGTCCTTGATGGAATACTTGTTATCCTCCAATTTGTAAAGCTCAACGAGGTTCGTCTTGTACGTAGTCCATTTCCCATCCTTCGGTCCAGCTTCCTTAACTTCCCTACCAAGACTTGGGTCCACATTAAATAGGAAGTTCTCTATAATCTCCTCTTCCGACCTATGACTCCGGCTGGCGTGAAGCTCCCACTTCTCCAGATATTCTGGGATACCATAGCATCTGAAGGTAGGAGGCTCTGAGACCTTGTGCGTAATAATATAGCTCCTTGCTCTCGTAAGGGAGCGGATGTGACTCCCCTGTCTGGGGGTCGAAGACTCGCCTGGGCGGCGCCCTGTCTCTATCTCTGTCCCTCCAATAGGAATCCCTCAAATTCTCTCTCCAGTCGTTTCTGTACCTGTCCGCTATGGTGTCCCTCCGCTCGTACTCGGGAGAGCGTCGCCTCGTCGCTTCTTGTCGTCCGCTCGAGGTACCCGTCTTTAGAGCCTCCTGCGGCTCTGTCGCAACTGGTTCGCCTCTTATGTCGGGCCCTCCGTCATTGGTTTGGTCAGCCCATCTCAGCGGTGCTTCTTGCCTAATTCGTTCCTTCAGTTCTTTCAGAGCTCGATCGGGCGATGTCCTATACTCCTCTCCTGCTTCGCCCATGGTCGGTTGAGGCCCCATCGTGCCGGGTTCCATTGGACCGCCAGAAGACGCAGTTAGGTTTTCTTGCCAACTRTTACAACCCGACCCTATGACAGTCGCTGCAGCCCGGACCTGTGACAGTTGCGGCAGCCCGGACCTGTTTCCTTGTCACGGCTCGCGTCCRCCTCCAAACTTAGCTCTCGATTGCCTTGATTACCACCTCCAGTAACCCGTACCGGCTGCAGATCTCGTGTTCTCCCTCTATCCCAAGAATCCCTGTGTTTAAGTAACCTCTCCTTCGGGATCGGCCAACAAGGCCGTGCCCGTCCGGATCCGCAGTACGCCCGTGACAGGACCTCTATCCTTGAGACAAATCGCAGTCCCAAACCTAGCCAATGTCTCCTGATCAACACCCCTCAAGAGTCCCCGAGCGTCTCTCTCCGTCCTCCTTGCTAGTTCTCTTAGCCCTGTCTGAATCGGTTAGCCCGCTAAAGGTCCTCCTACTGTCGTCCAAAGTCGCCCATCGACCTTTCTAGCTTCCTCTATCCTTCCAAAAACTTCCAATTTCTATTTCCACTTCCTTATCTCCCCAACGGCTACGAGGTCATTTGTCTAACAGCTGAGGTAAGTTAGTGCTATAACGACTTGTAACCTCAACGCCGACCGCTCCAATATGTCATAAAATGTCTCAAAGTCCTCATTATCTCCTCCTTCGTCTATCGCATCTAAAGTCTTTATCGTTTCCTTCCAATACCGGTTGTGAGCGGCTAACACCCTGAGTATTGCAACATCTGTTACAACTCTCCCTAACTCTCCAGCTTTCCTGGCTTCGCTTATCTTCAACCTCTCAGCCTCTCTGGTCGTCTCGTACCATGCCCTAATCCGAGACCGCCCTTCGAAAGGTGTCACTTGGAGTACGTATTTTATCCTCCGTCCTCCTTCTATTCCAATCCAAAGTCCTGTTCCCCTAGCCTCATGCAGCGCGAGGCGGACACACTCTCCCTCCTCAACTCTGCACAGTCTGGTATGGAGCTAGAGTTCTATGATCACTAACACTAATGGTCCGTCTAATCTCCCTACCACATGCAATGAGTACCGATCCGTCGTGTGTGCTGTTGTCCCGCTCATGTCCTGTCGCTACTTCCCTGCGTTACTTTGTCTTCCATTGTCTCGCTCTCTGCAGATCGCTCACTAGTTTCTTCGCGTGATACGCTTCTAGCCTTTACCCTCTCCAAAAAATCTGATATCCACGCCTGGATAATCTCTCTTTCCTCCCTAAAGAGACTCTCTAACTCTCTCGTCACGAGTTCTGCCCTACGCAACTTGCCCTCGTCTTGACACGACCAGATCTCCCTTACCTTGTCCCCCAACTTCTTTACTTGGTTCAAGAGTGGTTCTTTAACGCGCTTTCTGACTCTTCCGACTGCCTCACTCTCCTCTTCCATACTCAGTCCACATCTTTTTCCAGCTCATCCTCTCACCCGTTCAAGAGTGGTTCTTTAG